AAAACCTCGCTTTTCCTACCAAAGAGAAAGAAAGACACTGCTTGGCACCCTCTCTCCCTTTTCCTTCCTTTTGCTTGTGACTGCTAGAGCTGCAGCAACCATCATGGGACCATCAGGAAAAGGATAAAAGAACTGGGAAGAGAGCAATCAGTCCTGGACATCGCTGAGCACCCAACCAATATTAGCAAATTTTATGTGTAAAATTACAACACCAAAAAAACACCTCACCCCTATGTTTTTAAGCCACTGGAGTTAGGTTTTTGTCACTAGCAGCTGAGGGCACTCTTGATTAATAATACGACCATCTAATTTGGGGTCTTCCCAACTTCCATCATCCTCAAACCACCTTCAGCATTTTTGCCATGCCTGCTTTTTTAAAAAAGTGTGTATGAGGGCATTATGAGGAGATAAAGTGATTACATTCAAGGATGTCATTAGAATATAATCATATATTGCCACATATTGCCCATCTAATTTTAAAAAGCGGAAAAGAACAAAACTTAATGAAAAAAGCTGAACTACAAAGTAATAGAGAAAACATGAAAGAATGTTTTATAATTTTTATATGGCAATCAGCTCTCTCAGCAACATGTCAAAGACAAAGCCATAAGAAAAGAAAAAGACTGACAAATATGAAACTAAAATCTCTATATGGCAAAGCAAAAGACAATAAAATGGAAAAAAAGCATTCACAGCATGATGAAGAAAGAGTAATATTATTAAACTGTGAATTGTTTGGAAATAATATGAAAATTACAAACCCAGTAGGAAAATGAGTAAAAGGCATAAAGAAGCACTCTATTTTAAAAGAAGACACAAAAATGTCCAAAATTCACACTCGAGATGTTCAACTTCACTAATAATTACAGAAAAGCAAATTAAAATGAGATATTAGCCAGGCACAGTAGCTCACGCCTGTAATCCCAACACTTTGGGAGGCGAAGATGAGTGGATCACCTGAGGTTAGGAGTTCGAGACCAGCCTGGTGAACATGGTGAAACCCCATCTCTACTAAAAATACAAAATAATTATCCGGGCGTGGTGGCGGGTGCCTGTAATCCCAGCTACTCAGGAGACTGGGGCAGGAGAATCGCTTGAACCAAGGAGGTAGAGGTTGCAGTGAACCTAGATTGCACCATTGCACTCCAGCCTGGGCAACAAGAGCAAAACTCCATCTCAAAAAA